AAATAAATCCATTTATTAAATGCTTATAACTAATATTAAATTAATGAAAAATACAAATAATTCCAATAAATTATATTTAACACGGAATTATTCTTGTACAAAGGGGCTTTACAATTGTTTCCAATTGTCGTTTAAATAGTTTCAAAGAGAAATACTTAAAAACAGAAATTAATATGAAAGATCTTAATGTTTCAACTACTCTACATTGTAAAAAAATCGGATAAAATTACGGTAAAAAGTACAAGCATTGAGGGTGCTGGCACTTTTTACTGTAAAATCCATTTTTTTCGGAACATGTTAGGAACAAAAAATCTGATACACCGTCATTTTTACAGTAAAAATTGCCGTAAAATCAATGAATCGTTCTAATTCTAATCGTTCTAATTCTATTAAATGAATATTTCTGTAAAAGTTAAGACATAGTATTTTACTGTAAAAATGGAATTTACGATTAAAATGGATTTTACGGAAAAGTGCCCGTACTTTATAGCTTAATTTGATACGGATTTTTTTTAATGCACAGACTAAACGACTGAACCTTATATTCAAGGTTACGTCTTCCAACTTTCCATATTTTTAGAATCAAGAACACAATCGGAGATATAGAAAATGGGCTTATGTATGATTTTGTTACATAAAATACAGTCCGCATAAATTGAATAGCTTATGTCAACTTAGACACTGTAACTATTAAGATTGTACTTTAGTGCATAAAAATCCGATCAATGGACTATAAGTTATTAAGGTGTTCCGTTTTTTTATTTTGAGTATTGGGTAATAATGATAAGCCCGAAAAATAAATCATTAAAATGTTTATTTATTGAACTGAGAATCTGATCACTTTTTATTAGTGTCTAAAAGTTATATAATAACAAAAATAATTCATAAATGAAAAAAAAAAAAATTATATGGATGTTTTGCTCTATCGCTTGAGCTATTGCTATTTTTTTAATACTTCGTATGTCATATTAAAATTAGCTACTCTATATTTTTTGCTTCAAAAAGAATTCATAGAATATTTTTATTTGGAAAATTTGTAGTGCAGCTAAAACTTTAAGGAAAATTAAGTTACAATCTCGTTTAATAAAATGTTTCTTGAATGTACACAAATGTATATACAAACTAACGAGAAACAACTGCATTGAGAAAAAAACACTCTTTAACGAGAAACAACAAAACAATTCTTTAAAATCGCGAATACATGTTTATAAAAATTTATTTACGTAAAATTTACAATTTAAAAATAATATTAATGTGTTTATAATGCATTTTGGAACCATGCCTAAGCATTAATAAGATGATAATTCATAGCAAAAAGCTATCTTGCTGTGTCGTTAATTAATTTTAAATGTTCATTCATTTAAAATGTTTCATTAAATAAATGTTTCATGGGTTATCTACGAATTTTTTTTATGTTAGTATGAAAATATATCTATATTTTGTCAAGAAAATTTCAAGATTAGAAATTACAACAATTTTCGCATGAATTTTAATGTCCGACGTTGTTTGAAATGCCATTGGGTCTCAATTATCTCATTGAATTTTTGAAATTGCTTTGTACAATCCCTTTTCCGAGTTCAGAATTGTCGGAACAATAATGTCTGCATAATCTCTTATATGAAGAAAAAAATGGCTTGTTTTACCTACATTTAATTAGTTTAACTACATCAGATTTACACTAATTTCAATTAGTTATTATTATTATTGATGTGGATTTCATATTTGTAAAAACTTTATTTTGTATGAATAATTTCTGTAGCAATTCTTTTAACCCCTTCCTTCTCGCTCCCGTGAAAATGCAAGAGTGAGGTTTCACCCTCTATTTCTGGCTCCCGTGATATTTCTGGACTGGAGTGCTCAGTAGTAACGCACCAATAAGAATAAAACTAATTCATTTCGCTTTCCTGGAAAAAATTTTATTTCTCATTTTACACACCAGATGGCAGTACCAGGATATTTTTAAGGTAGTTGCAGGTAGTTCGTTTATTTTAAACTAGATGTCAGCACTAGGACTGGGCGATGTTAAGATTTCAGCATCGTGATGCATCGCCACTCAAACATCGTGATGTTTCGATACATCGCGATGTCACATTACTATTTCAGATTTGGTTGCCAAATTTTGCATTCTTGCACACCTTTACTTTTTATTTATTTGATGCTACTGTAAAGTAAGACTAAAACTAAAATTTTAAATATATATATTAGATTTTTAGAATTTAAACTTCGTGTGTTTGGGGATTTCAAGAGGGATAATCAGAAAAATTTATAAAAGTGAAAATCTGCCAAAATGCATCAAATTTACATTATACGAACTATATTCATTTTATAGGTATTTAATTTCAATAAAGTTATATAATCAATAAGAGAAAAAAGTAAAGATAGGAGTAAATTAAATGTATGACTTTATATCCTGGTATATCAATGTTTTGTAAACTGATTATTTTCTTCTTTTGGATTAAAATAATTCGATAGACTGTCTTTTTCAATTTAAATAAAACACATCTTTTCAAACTTTTCTGAAAACAATCGGAAGTTTTTAAATTAAAGAAAGAGGATATTGAATAAATAGTTAACTGGTGAAACGAATAATTCATTAAAATTTTACACGCAGCTTAAAAAAATGAGAAATTATCTTTAAGGATGAATTTAAAAAAAAGAATAGTATTTTAACCTTAGCCAACAAAAATTATCGTTAATTTTCAACATTCTTAAAGATGGTTAGGTATCATAGACAAAAACACATTAAAAATTATTACATTAAGAAATAATTTTTCTAGAAAATAAAATTAGAAGAAATTGGTGCATTTTTTCATTTCTCATATTGTAATAAATTTATCTTAACATGGATATTTCAGCAATTAATATTTGATATTTGTGGATAGAGTGCAGTGCATGAAAAAAAAATTAACTGTTGACTTCATAATTGGATTCCAAAAAGTCTGATTTTTTTAAATTTATTTTTCAGAAACTATTCAACTAATTTCTTTTAACTTTTTTATTTTAAAATAAAAAGTTATATTTTTTAAAAAAATTGTATACCTTACAATTCAAACTTTTTTCGACTATTACTAATAAAAAAATTAATTAAAATCATTTTTACATAAAATTATCTTTGGATAAACGAATTATGTCAGCCAATTGTAAAAATAAAATAGATACAATTATAAAATTTTAAATGTGCTTTGAGCCAACAATTTAAAAATCTTTATAAACAGAAAAATAAAAAACGTAATAGAAAATTATAAAAAAAAATAAAAAAAATATGGATTGAGAAAGCTAGAAAACTTAGAACAGCCGATGCGCATAACCTCTTGACCTTTCATTCTCCAGAATTTCTTGAAGAATATCTTTCAATAATTTATTGAAGGCAGTAGATATATTGAAGGTAGTAACCTTTGAACTAATTGAGGAAATTGAGAAAAACCAGTATAAAAACAAAATTTCCTGAAAAAGGATATGATGGAAATTATTATGGCTTCAATGTTGTAAAAATCAATTATTTGAAAATTTCTTTTCAAAATTATTGCTGACCTAATGTATTATTATGTTGCTAAACTATATTTCGTGGAAATAAAATTTAACTGCACACTCTTATTAAAATTGTTATAAATAAGAAAGATCGAAAAGCAGTCAAGTCGAAAAAGAAAATGCTAAAGAGATAAAAACGAAACGACTGTCTTAAAAAGAAAATTTGCGTTTGAGAAGTTGTCGGTTCAAAACCTCGTTTGCAAAAGTTTTTTGCAAAAATAATAGATTTTTTTTAAATATTTTCTAACAATAATAATAATCATTTTTTAATAATTGAAAACGTGGTCATTACGCAAAATTGCAGCTATATAAAATTATTAATGAAAACATTTTATCCATATTTAAGGAATGCAATTCTTCAGATTTAACAAAGAAAAATAAATAGGTAAAAAAGTGAATAAATAAAAAGTCTTATCGAAACAGACGATCGTTTCTTCAACAAGACAAAAATGATCTCAAAGTATTGTCAAATAACAAAACATAAATAATCCTCCGAGAATCACTTTCCTTTCTTGGACTTGCACGAAATGAAGAAAGCACCTTTTCATCTTTCATTGGCGATGAGTTATAGTCACATCGGAAATCATCGTGTGAGAACATCGTTACTTGATAATTCGCGAAGAAAGAAACACTGGGAAAAGATCGTCTAGTCACATCGGAAATCATCGTGTGAGCACATCGTTACTTAATAATTCGCGAAGAAAGAAACACAGGGGAAAAGATCCTCTAGTCACATCGGAAATCATCGTGTGAGCACATCGTTACTTGATACTTCGCGAAGGAAGAAACATAGGGGAAAAGATTGTCATGACAATCGATGTCGCCGCATGATCGGGGGAAAATGCTCATCGCGCGTGCTTGCGAACATCGATGTTGGAGAGGGAGAATCATGCTTCGCGACATCGGGAAACATCGATGTCTACCTGGCATCGGAAAACATCGTGCTCACATCGGAATTCACAATTCTTCGAAAAAGAAGCCAGTCTAAGCATCGGATCGGCGATGATTGCACAACATCGATGTTTTCCGATGCATCGATGTATCGCCCAGTCCTAGTCAGCACTAATCAAATACTTGTATTTGTGATATGTGAAAAAACTAGGCACTTTTAAGACCGTTTTCTTAAAAATTAACCGATCGTTAAGGGGTTAACTTGAAATTATTTCGAAAATTTCGTGAAATGAGTGCATGCTAATCAAAGAAAAAGAAACCGAGATATTTAAGCTTAACTTTTTTATGCAATGATGCATTATCAATGTGAAATTCAGAATAATTCTTATAATAGGCTTTCTTGTGGTCAATTACNTTCTTAAAAATTAACCGATCGTTAAGGGGTTAACTTGAAATTATTTCGAAAATTTCGTGAAATGAGTGCATGCTAATCAAAGAAAAAGAAACCGAGATATTTAAGCTTAACTTTTTTATGCAATGATGCATTATCAATGTGAAATTCAGAATAATTCTTATAATAGGATTTCTTGTGGTCAATTACCTGGACAGTGGAATGGACAACATTAATTACATGCAAAGATTAAGGAGAGAAGCATTCATGTATCATGGCTTTTTACTTGTTACCATTGAAGTTAAGTAAGTGATATTAGAATTTGTTTTTATTTTGTCACTATGATTGACGCTATATAAATTATCGGGACCAACAGGTATTTTTTTTGTTGATGTTGGTTGGTTTGGGTTATATTGCACACGACGAACACGCAGTTTCGCCCTTTCAAACCAAAACCTCTTAGATAAGAGAAGGCATTCGCACTAATCAATTTAGTAGTCCGATTTAGTGAACATAAAGTGCGCAGTGGGGAGTAAATCAGAACGATGTCACAACGTCTGGACTACTAACTGCGCAGTGGAGGCAACCAAGAAAGATGTTACAACATTCGGACTACTATAAGATCGGATTTCTCGTTTATGGTAACCCGTGAGAAGGTTTTCTCCCTTCTAGGACGTTTGACAAACTCAGCATTAAAAACGAACGATACTATCTATCCGAGATAGCAAAATTAAAGTGATTTATAAACTGTACGAACCATACGAAACTATACGAAAACAAAAGAAGAAAGGAAAAAGATCAGTAACGATGAAAGCAAGATATCTCAAAATCGAAGATCCCGCTTTTACAAAATGTGATAAAAGAAAGATACCGTAAATGTATTTTTACAGTAGCAACTACTGATACTGAATCCACTTAAAATGCTAATTCCGATACCCTGATCCGCTGAAATAGTCCCACTTAAATAAACTGTGATGTGTCGATAGGCTTCGAAACTTTATCTTGCCGTATCTGCCGCTCATCAAGATTTCGAACAACGTGTTATACGACACAAAAGCAAAAGAAGAGCTAGAAAAAATAATTTGTAAGATCAGTAAGATATTTCAGGGTAAATGATCCCGCATTTACAAGGTGCGATAAAAGAAAAGTAACATAAATGTATTTTTACAGCTGTAATTGTTGACACTACATCCCTTAAAAAGATAATTCAGATAGTCTGATCCGTTTAAGTAATCACGTTTCATAATCATGCTGCGATTTGCCAATCTGATTCCAGAGACGGAGCAGTGTTTAATATCGTATCTGCTGTGCATCAAGACTTTAGACAACGTCTCACCAATTTATTTTAGTTATTAATTTATTTATTTGTCACAAAAAGTAACAAGAAAGTTTGCACACTGTTAAACTCAATGTATGACAACAATGTACTGACTCTGTAATCACTTTAGAAGCCGTTTAAGGGACTCAAAACCGGAAATGAGTCAGTTGCAACTGTTGCACGCTTGGAACAATATCTTTCCTTTTTGCCGATTCTCTTTTGTCGTTTACTATGTCGTTTGTCTACTCGTCTCTTTTTGTGCCTTACTCTCCTTATTTAGCTTCATGCGCCTTCTGCCTTAAACTTTTGACGCCATTTTCGATGTTGAAAAGGTCACGACGTAACTGACGAAAAACTCCTTCCGAAAATGCCACAACAATCGAATCTTATTCATTGGTCCGTAATAAACATATTCGCCGTACTTTTTTAAACGCGCCCTCTATTTGACTTTTTCTTTGAAAGTAAATAATGGGTCAGTACCATTCATGGACATAAATTTCTGCCACTAATGCTAACCCTATAAGAAATATAAATTTTTGACGCAAATGCCTAAGATAATTAATAATTTATTTAAATGCATCTGTGAATATTATTTTAACGCTTCCCGATCTGATGAATTATGAATATCTTGTAGTAAACCATCAAAGTATTAAACAATTATTTTACTCTATTTAAATCAATTTTAGTATATCATAGGGTGAGGTTTTGAAATTGCATCAGTAGTTAGGTAGGTATTTTACTTACATCTCACTAAAGCCTTACAATGGGCTATTGGTGGTCGGGGAAACATCTCTAATGATGATCCAAAGACTTGTCATCACAATTTTGATCCTATGCAGAGGAGATGGCTCTCCCATTTTGGTAGTCCGACGACCTGCGTGAAGGCGACTCCTTACAGGGGATCAGTTTAATGAGGGCCGATACCGCGCACGCTCGGTCCCTAAGCAGGTTGATCAAAGTGGTCATTCACCGGCTTGTTGGTCACAGCCACTGATCTGCTGGGAACTGTGTCTTTACAATTTGTACAATAATTTGTCTCAACTATTTTTTATTTTTATTTTGCTTATGCTATCTTTGAGTAAATCATGAGTAAATTTATAAGATTTTTCAGTGGAATATGAAATACACTCATAAATATAAACAGTCTTATTCTATAGGAAATTGATTCACGAACAACAGTTTTGAAACGCTGAATGATTGCAAACAATCATTAAAAATCAGTTTATTTGTTGTATGAAACTAAAAGCCGCTTTCAATATTTATTCGGCTTTAAGGAAATTATTTAGATTTTATTTAGTTTCATTCAACAGATAAACAGTTTCTATATCACTTTTGCTTAAATTGACCCCGATAACAATTCATATTTACCTTGATGAAACTTTTTTTTCTTTCATTTGAATATAATTTTCCGATTAATTGGAAATATTTAATAACCTTGTTGGTAAGATTAATTGGAAATATTTAATAATTAATAATAATTATTCTGCTTGAAAAATATTATTTGAAATACCTTTAGTTTTCTTCAACAGATTAATAAGTTTTTGTAATCTTTAAACTCATCTTTCCATTAATTAATCTCGATAATAAATCGTGTCTGCTATTTTTTCACTTGAAAGCTTTTTTTTCCACTTGAATATAAATTTTCGACTCTCAATATATTATTGTTATTGTTATTCGAATGTTTCATTTTTCAACATTAAAAATATCACAAATTTAATTGTTTTAAAGATGAGAGTTGTTGAAATCCTATGTTTTACGTTAATTTTATATCTGTGATATAAAAAATCACAAAAATATGTTGTCCGAAACTGCATTTGTTTTATTATATAACAATATTTTGTTGAATGGTTGCTGTTATCTTTGAGCGAAAGTCTGATGATTTGCTGGCTGATGGTTCGAATGTGATAATAAGTGAAAAATTCATGGATGGCCAACAAATAGTTATTCATTGCTATGCAATATTTTTATACTTAAACTGATAGGCCGATGCTGGGTGACGTCACAGCTCTATATTACACCAACGACAGTGAAAAAGGACCAGTCGTTATGCAGCCAGGTAATTATTTTATTTCTTAATTTTTAAAATATTTCTTATGAAACAAAAGATAGTAAAATGTTAAGCAATTATACGCGTAGTTCAGTGTCAAATAGTTAAATTTGACATTATTAAAGGCCTAGCTATATTACAACTGGATATAGCTATATTACAAGTGGAGAGTTCAGTGGATCAACATGTTTCGCTAAGTTTTTCAATATAATAAAATGAGCCATTAAGCCCATGTCAAAGAGGTCGTGAGTTTGATCCCGCTGGCCGAGGAATGTCACCATTTACACCCCGTGTAGTAAATGGTGACTGGTGTACGTTAAATCTGTTGAGTCAAAAAGTCCTCCATGCTCCCATTACAAATTATACATCTGAGGGTACTGAATTGGAGATTGATTGTTCTCTGATTCAAGTCAAAATTACGATCTGTGGATGAATGAATGGATGTATGAATGGGCCCGCTCTATAAACGAGCTGTGACGTGTTTGTGAAGTCTTATTCTTGGCCATAGATGGCGCCACCGCGAAACAAGAAACGCATCCCTTTGCCTTAAATTCGCTTGGTTTCGCCAATCAGACTTGCTGATATAGGTAAGTAGCATTAGAAACAACAACAATATAATAAAATAGAGTTTGTCAAACATGAAGTGACATTTTAAAATCACTCAATTTTACTAAACATACTCATACAGGGTGTTCCTCTACCACACTCCTTTATGTGTATTTTTAGAAAGCTTGTTAAGAATGAAGTTGGGAAAGGTAAACACATCGAGGATCACAAATTATTATTTAAACGAAGACAAGAGAAAAAGGAGTATGTGAGGAATCTCTTTTGAAGAAGACGGAATTGAAGACGCAAAACTGTTGAACTATGCATTGAATTACAGTGCATGTATTTATTAAGCAATATTTGATTGCCAGATAAAAGAACCTTCTACTCCTCTCTTTATTTGAACAGTGAAACAAGAGAGGGGTTCCAACTCAGGCACTGTCCACGTCGTCTGTCTGGGGTCAAAATTACGTGATATTCCTGTCGTGGTTGTTAATAGTCCTAAAAATGGGACTAAGTGCTTGGCTATGGTTGGGCGATTTGTGGACAATGAAATAAGCTTTGATGTGTTTTATTCCCGCCATTTTCAATAGTACTTTTCCTGATTTCTATGGTGTTTTCTTTCTTTCCCCCTTAAATATCCAATTCCGTGACATTTGATGTGTAGAATTATTTTACTTCATTACTGACAAGGACTCTTAAAGTACACAGTAAGGTCGAACATTAGAGAGCACCGTGTGAGTGATTAAATGTATTTAAGATTTATGCCAACAAGAAATTAGATACAGAAAGATTATTTACTGTTCTAAACCTTCAAATGATTTTATTTTCAATAGTACACCTCTATATACTATGGAGTTAATTTTTTCAAAAAATTCCTTTACATCACATGTTCTACTTAAATATTCAATTGCTTTCTAGTCCCTAAATCTTACATTGCTTCAATCCTCAATTGCTTCCGAGACATTTTTAGAAATGCAACAAGAAGTTCGGACTGATGTTTGTATTATTTTCATTCATAAACTAACGTTTTACAAATGATTGGTTACTTTTCTTTCTTTGGTAGAATTATTCTTGTAAACGAGAGTTTATATTTTAATACAGGGTGATTATTAATAAATTTTGCCTACTGTATGAGTCCCTTTGAGAGCACATTATTCGAGAAAATAGAATAAAGTTTTATATTAATATATCATAAGGTATATTCAAGAGTGGTGGTAAAAGCTATACTATCCAGCTCTCACGGTTATGGAGACAGAATTTTAAAACTTTCGAATGCAGCTCGTAATTTGTGAAATGTGGTCCTTACAGTACAAAATCGATAATGAAGTTGGAACGACTATTTTACTCGATTGGTGACAACGTTATACAAAGATGAAGAAAATAGTATTTTACAAGTTTTCGCCTAGATCAGATATTCAGCACTATATTGAACCTTCTCTACAACAGCGGTAACGAAGAAAAAGGCACAGTGATTTGTATACTGAATCTTTTTTTCTTCATCTCTGCCAACCGCTGGTGGTTTACATGCTGAAAATATTGTTCAAAGTTTCATATTGTGAGAAATAAATGACCATTGCCTTTAGAAAATGTCGAAATTTCATCCATGTAACCATATGCGTGAAAGCTGGATAATCGTTTTTAACAATATTCATTAAGGGGTGGAGTGTTTTATAATGCATGGGGAAATTTCATTCAAAGTTTTATTCCATTACCTCACACGGTATATGCAAATGATGTGTTGACAAAATAATTTATTATCACCCTGGATATTGGTTGATGCATAACATTATCTTTTGTTATAGTTTTTGCCTCTGAATGGCAGTAAACAAAGACGCAAATTAATTCCCCTTTTATTTGTTGCTAACTTATTTACAGGAGTGCACGTGTTTGGAAATAGTTCTCCCTCTCATCCCTGGAAGAAAGTGAACGCTGCCAAAAGGAAGTTTGAAGATGTAACAGCTCATCATCCTCGTACATCTCATAAGGAAGAACTAATAACAGACATCTTTCAAGTTCTTCGAGATGACACTCTGTAAGCTAATTATTTTACATTATGAAATACAGCTATTTCGACACTGTTAACAAAATATATATAAATTTAGTACACCCACAATTTAAATGTGTGAACTTTTGAAGATATTTTTTTCACTTATTAACCTTGATAATGAGCCATCGGAATTTGATAGTTTTTTTCTCTTATTGAATTGTCTCTTATCTTCTAATGTGAGCATCATTTAGTTTATTTTACAAACATTCTAAATATCTGCAAAAAAGGATGATCAGCACGGAATATGTTGTATGTTTGGTTAGCATGTTTTAAGAAAATCCAATTATTATAAAACTTTCATTGATGGGGTGTTGTCAATCATAAGTCATAACTTTTACTTAAAACTTTTTTTAAAATTTTCATTTTTTCCTTTTTTTGACACTTTTGATACTGAAATATTCGAAAATTTTTGAATATCCTCAGAAATATAAAAGAACACTTATTTTTTAAAAGACATAGTAATACCTCGTTAGTGAATTACTCTCAAACTAATTTCCCAAAAGTTCTGCACGATGCATTTATCAGTTATAACTTTTAAGCTCATGTGTTTAAATGATATTTCTTTCTTGGCGTTTCCTCCACTGAGACTTCGCGTTATTCTGAATTTTAGAGAAATGCAATGTTGTACAGTGAGCAAAATAAAAAACTGACCACCCTGAATAACCTTTAATTTAATGATCGGATCTTCATGTTCTGGGATTCAATCTTAATGGTTCGTGGGGGTGACCACAAATATGCGAATCAATTAGTGCAGGCGATATTTTAAGGTGAAAAATCAGACACAAAAACGTACTGTCTCTGAATGAATACACCTTTTTTGACGGATTTGGATTTCTGACCCCCAAAATATAGGGGGTAGGGCGCAATCTGGAAAATATGGTGGTCCTAGTTTGATCAGCAGAGCAGTTCGAAGTTTGAACCCTTTAATGTTTATTTTGCTTTTTGCATATTTCACCATACCTAGAGAACTTTTTAAAGCGAATATGAAAAATTTTGCCCACAATTATGAAATTCGTTTAGTCACAGGTTGTTCAATGCAAAGAATAAATTTTAGTGAGTATTTATTATTTTTTATTATTTTATTTAATGATATGTGGAAACCTTTAATTTATGAGGTATATAGCTTTTCACATCATTTTAAAGAATATATTTTTAAATGACAAAATACAAAATTTGAGCGAATAGATCGAAAAGTTTCTGAGAAATCACAATTTGAAAGAGTCATATTTTTAAAATTCGATTTCTCAGGAATTAATCGATTGATTTTGATAATAATTTGTATTATTCCATGTAAAAATTCATTCTTTAAAACAATGTAAAAAATCGTATGGCTTAAAATTAAAAATGTTTTCGACTATTATTAAATAAAATAGTAAAACAATAATAAATGTAATAAAAACTCACTAAAATTTATTTTTTGTGCGGAATTATTTGTGGCTGAACGAATTTTATAAATGTGTGCAAAAAATGTTTAATTAGCTTAAATATTTCTTGAGATATAGCGAAATGCACAAAAAAATAAAGTTTACATTAAGGGGTCCAAACCATGAACCCCTCACTTGCGGAAACTATTTTCATCCTATTACCCAGATTGCGGCCACCTCCTATATTTTGGGGGACGTAAATCCAAATCTGTCGGGAAAAAAGTTATGTTTATTCAAAGAAGGTGCGTTTTTGTGTCTAATTTCGTTACATAAAATATGATCTGAGCTAATTATTTAGCATATTTGAAGTCATCCCCTCGAACCATTAAAATTGAGTGTCAGAACGTTAAGATTCGATCATTAGATCAAAAGTTATTCAGGGTAGTTCATTTTTCTTTTTTTTGCGCTGTACAATGTGAAATATATACAACAGATACAAGTTTCTTTTTATGCATTTACAGCAAAATCTTTTCTGTTGTTTCTTTAAAACTCCTCTTATTTTCTTAATCATCAGCCATTATCCTGACGAGCAACTAGACAAAGATGCTGATGGTAGACCTAAAGAATACGTCAAGGAGTTGAGTGCCATATTTATAAAGCCAGAACTAGGAGTATACGGTTCCAGGTAAGAAGGACGAAAATCCTGCTATAAATTTTAAAATATGTATTCACCATCTTTAAATAGTTAGAAGAGTTGAATATTTACTCTTCATTTATTTCAAAGATTATCCTTATCATTTCTTTATCATACGTTATTTTTTATTTCATTATTCCCCTTATCATATTTCGTATCACATGTTTTCTTATCATTTCTATTCTCCATTTTGGAGCCATGTGTTTGCCCTTATTATATTTGGTATCACTTTTAACCCTTATTTTCCTTATCATATTTAGTATTATATTTATACCTTTATAACTTCCCTTATCATATTTGATATCACTTTTTACCTTATGAATTCTCTTATCATATTTAGTATCACATTTATACGGTATTTACTTTACTTATCATATTTGGTATAATTTTTTACCCTCATGATTTTTCTTATCACGTTTAGCAACACATTTATACCGATATTACTTCCCTTATCATATTCGATATCACTTTTTACCTTATGAATTCTCTTATCATATTTATATTATTACTTCACTTATCATATTTGGTAAAACTTTTTACCCTCTTGATTTCTCTTATCACGTTTAATAACGCATTTATACCGATATTACTTCCCTTATCATATTCGATATCACTTTTTACCTTATGAATTCTCTTATCATATTTATATTATTACTTCACTTATCATATTTGGTAAAACTTTTTACCCTCATGATCTTTCTTATCACGTTTAATAACGCATTTATACCGATATTACTTCCCTTATCATATTTGATAACACTTTTTACTTTATGAATTCTCTTATCATATTTATATTATTACTTCATTCATCATATTTTGTATAACTTTTTACCCTCAAGATTTCTCTTATCACGTTTAGTAACACATTTATACCGATAATACTTTCCTTTTCATGCTTTAACCCTTATGATTTCTCTTATTATATTTTTGCTTCTCATTTATACAGTTACCACTTCTCTTATAAGAGAAGTGGTAGCAATATGGTAAGCAAATATGATAAATCATAATTGCTGTCCCTTTTTTACTTTATGATTTCTCATATCACATTGAGTGTCACATGTATAACATTATCAATACCCTTATATTTGATATCTCAAGTTTACCTTTATTATTTCCCTTAATGCATTATTTTTTGTATTACTCCTTAAGTGTTAAAAGAGTTTCATTCTCATACTTTATATTTCAAACTCTGTATGTCCTATGGATTTTAAACAAATCAATAAGAATCAAAATTGAGAACTTTTTTAAACAAGTTTCTTGGGGTAATCGGGTATATTCTAAACAAAATATTAAGGGAAATTTCTCCCAAATCCATTTCCCATCAGTTCTTTATGGTGCACTATCGGTTGTATTTTTATGTTGCACAGCAGAAATGAAAACTTATTTTAAGTTAAATATATTTGAGTATTTGGAAAATTTGTAGTCACAAAATATATCATTATAATGAAAGTAAAACATAAAACTTAAAAGACGAGTAATACAGTTAAATGCGAAAGACGACAGTTTCGGTACTGTAACAAGTATCTTCATCAATACTGAGATTCTCGACAGTAAAGTTATCATGTTTGAGGGAACGAACAACCTTTTCTGAAAACAAGATCCTACTTTTTAGTAAACGAAAGTTTATTTCATTCATATTTGAGTAAATGCAAACATTTCTGTATCCTCCTCATTTCATCTTATTATTTTTTTAACAAAATGTTTCGACTTGTCAACTTTTTCCGTTTAATCTTACAAGTAAAACATAAAAGTTTGATATTGAATAAAACATTTTTTTAAAAATTTTGAAATGTTGATTTCGAATACGATATTCATTTTGAGGCCACTTCAATAGTTTCATAGTTTCCCCCCCCCCAGAAAAAACAACAACATTTAAGCCGCGTAATAAAAACAAAAAAAATTTTAATGCAATTTTCCGGTGACATAGTAAAAAAAACTCTAGTATCTTTCTATAGGGTCATAAATTCAAACCCCGTATCAGAAAGAATTTTACTATCGCAATCTTTATCTAGTCAATTTTTCTCTGCTTCTCCGACTTAATACTCGCAGCTATTGAGAATTTTATTAGTTCTATCTAATTAATGAGATTTGGATACTTTTACTTCAAGAAAAAGATCACAGATACAAGCACATGTGACGTCAGCTAATCGTTCATAAGCAAAATGGCGTGTTAAAGTTTAGCTAAGTTTCTCCATATAGGTTAGAATGCTAATTAACGTGAAGTTAATTAAATACAGCTCCGTATCACAGGTCGAATTTGCTGAAATATAATTCCTTCTCGTCGACATATTTTACTTTACTTAGACTTATTAATTGTTTACATATTACAGTGCTATATTTTTGCTTTGTATACCTGACATCCTCGATGCGTAATTAGTTTGTTTCTGTTCTACATAGCTCCGTGCCCCTCTTTGAGTTAAGTAAAAAATATATAGTAAGGAAAGTTTTCGCTCAATTTAAGAAACAGGAAATGGTCACTGGGTACCAAGTTTGGGCTGTATGGTGGTAGCTTTAAACTTTCCACTTGAAGTTTTGAAACAATGCTTGCGTTTTTCGATCAGGATGAGATCTGTTATTAACCAGCAAGAGATTAACACCCTCACTAAGCATGACAAGGCGTTTGCTTTGGATGAAAATCCTTGTTCATAAAAACAAAATACTGCTCGCACTACGATATGAGACCACTTTTCTAGGCTTCTGTTGTTGTTGTGGCTTATCCTCCAATGCTGAACGAAGTCAGACAAGGTCCATCAGACCGTTGACCCTAAGAAAATCGAGGACCAGAAGGGTGTCATTTGAATGACTTCAACAAATCGTCTTTCGAACTGGGATAAGCTATCCTTATAACCACTGCTAGGCAACTATAGTATGCTGTCTCCACTTTGGAGGAATGTATTAATGTTCCACAATAATTGTTTTTTAATTGCCATTGCTTATAAACTTTTTTTAATCTATCCTCGTCTTATAATTGTTAACATACAATCATCTGTGAATTTAATATTTATTTTGAATGTTATTTATGTTCCACAGGACTCACACAGTGATATTAATTGACGGACATGGTCGTGTCGACTACTTGGAAAGGACAATGAAGGAGCCAATCGATGTCACCTCCGATATCAACTGGATAACGACCCGCATGCAATTCAACATAGAAGACTCGACGAGAATTTCATCCCACCTCTAAGGCCAATTCTTCTTAGACTTCAGAATTATTTATCGAAATAATCATTCTGTTGTTAACAATTGAGAAGTTTTTCTGAATGATTAATTTATATAACTATGCATACAGTATTCGTAATTAATCAGTGTAAATAACTGAATCATTAGTAAGATGACATTTTAGAACATAGTGACTTAAATTCCATAAAATTGACCCTCGGACTCAGAATTTTTATTTAACTTATTTTTCGTGCTTCTTTCTTTATTTCATATTAATTTAAATCAAAATAAGTGAAAATATTATGCTTAGCATTTTAATAATCTATGGTTATCAAATACATCATGAAACATTTGTATCTTTTTCTGCATTAAAGGTAAAAATGTTCCAAACATCCAAACAATGATTTTTTTTAATATTGCACTTATTTGCAGTTATTCAGTTGTAAAAGAAGCAATTATTTATCATTGAAATTTCTTTAATTTACAACATCAACCATTAATAAATTTTTGAATCTGAATGAAGAAATAATTTCATACTACTTTTTTGGGGGGATTTCATATTTTAGTACAGATATATTTCCGATAATCTAACAGATTATCTTAGTAATTATTAGACTGTTTTTTATAATTGAAAAATATCAAAATATATATTTTTGCTTGTAATTAGAAAGTCAGAAAAATTATATATAAAAGGGACACTGGTGTCAAAGGGTTAACTTTGTAGTTACCTTTGCACAGTTGGTATAATGTTTTGGTGAATATTTTGTTCAATGAATTGGGTTAAATGGAAACTTTATAACCACAGTGACTTTTTCCAATCCATGCAGGATTTTCAAACTGAACCACTTTTTTCACTAATTCATTTTTTCTTTTATTTAACTGCGTAATACTGTGATTTAATTTAGCTTAAAATATAGTTCAATTTTGTACCATATTAAAGTTAATTCAAATTGGCTCGATATGATGGTTTAACCTCAATCGTTTTTTCTGAGAAGGTAGTTGAATTTTTTTTATTACTCATGCATTGTCATAAGCCAATAGAAACTGTCACTGATTGTACTCTATTTGTGGCTATTTCGTAATTTTGAAGCAATTCACGTGGCTAAATTACGCCTAAGTCAAATATTGGAACATTATCACTATTAAGGAGAAATTCTTAAATGAAACAAGCCATTGCATATGTTATATGGAGAAAAGAATGTAAAAACTCCCCGTGGTTAGCTCGATGACCATTAAACTTTAACCCATTATTTATTTGTCACTAGAAATAATTTATATCAGCACCAGGTCAGCGTGGAATCAACAATAATCGGTATTTGGATCTTTACATTATATTTATAATGAAATCAAATACCCGGATATGATATATGGTCGTTATTTATAATTTTTTTCTCTTCTGAAAAATTTCTTTCAATTTTTGTATGAGTTTCTTAAAGTTTAAATTAATAAACTAGACTTTGATACCAGTATGTATTAAATTCCGGCTCTTTTTATGTGCCTATTAGTAATATGACTACATTTAGAAGTTGTTCAAATAATAATCGATTTAAACTTGAAAAAGAAATAAATTGACAAAAAACAGATTGTTAAATTAATTAAAAATAAAAATAACTGCAGGTTAATTTCTACTTTTTTCTTCTAAAAATGAAAATATTTTTCTCGATAATATAATTTCGTCAATCACGAAAATTATTTTTTTCTATATTATTACCTATTGTCTTCTTGTATTATAACCTAGTAGAAAGTAACGTTGTATTTAACGAAAAATGTTTCAAAAAGGCAGATAACGTTTCAGTTCTTCAACAATGACGAAACATAGAATATTCTTGTAACGATATTGTGCATAAACGATTTATCCTAACGAAACACTCTTTGTTTATGATATATTTATCCTGAATGATATACGTTATTTACCAACCAAGAAGAAATCTCAGAAAGTTCGAATGGTCTAAGAGGTGCTATCAACAAGAGGAGAGTCTAGTCTGCTATGTCTTCTAAGCAACTGATTGATTGAGGAAATTTTTTCTTTTTCCCTAAACACCTTATAATGTTCTCTTATTTATTATAATTCTACCTAGCTCGAGTTGATAGAATAATCCACTAAATTTGTGTAATATTTGTATAACACAGAATGATTTATACCCTATTTTTTATCATTGTATTCTATGAATATTTTTATTTTATATATTATGATGTAAAAATGAATGTGTATGTATTTTTTTGCATAATTCGTGCCAATTTATGTTTTATTAATAAAAAAAAAGTTGTTTGTAGATTTAGTAAAAAATTTTACAAGACATTAAAAATAGCTTTGGGGAGATTTTAAAAATAAGTAAAATTCAAAATTTTAAATTTGTTTTGCGCCATTCCTTAAGTGTAAGTTTGAAGCTTAAATAACCCTTACCTTATATGTTTACCTTAGAAAGTCGAGTCTGAAAATTTTCTGTTTTGTGAATTTTATCCGAAACATAAGAAAATGATGTCTTAAGCATTGATTGAATTTGTTACAATTATATTTGACTTTATATACGGAAACATTGGATTTTTGCTGTTAAAATTTTGTATAGATTCGCAAATTTCTGCTGTAGTTTCATTCTTCTTTTGTAGCAGTCATTGAAATTTACTTATTCTTTCTTTGAATTCAACGGTCTAATTAATCAGTAAGTCTTTTTTTTTCCCTTTTATTTTCCTAAGCCATCATTTGATCCCTTACCTTAAGCCAGTGTTTCCCAAACTTATGAATACCCTTTCTAAATTTTCCGTAACGCTGTGTANTTGATCCCTTACCTTAAGCCATCATATGACCATTACTTTACCGTCATATGACCCCTACCTTTAAGTGAAGGAAATAAAATTTCGTACCTAGGCATAGTGATCTATTCACTTCAGAAAGATGTTAAAAACTTCGGTGTAGCTTTCACAGTTATAGCTACAGTGAAAAAATTTCGAAATTTTCAAATGGCAACATGAACTTTTTTGGATCAATACGTAATCTTTACAGTAAAAAGTGGACTAAAAGGGAGTTAAAACGATAGTTAGAACATTAGGCTTTTGTCAAAAGTCGTCATTTTTAGTGACTACTTACCAGAAGAGAGTTAGATGGGGGGAAAAACTTTTAAAAAAAGAGATATGATAACAAATAAACCGTTTAAATGTTAATAATTTTTGACCTGTTCGTTCTCACATGCCCCCTGGCATGTTTATAGTTTCGTTTCTAATTTTTATGATTTTTATCACACTCACTTCTCATGTCAGTGGTCACGAAAAGTGGTGCCATTTGGCAAAAGCGTAGTGTTGCAATTTCCTGGCCTGAAAAAATTGCTCCAACTCCATTTTAGGTTTTTACTGCAAGAATTATGCTTCGATAAAATAAAAAAAAATGGGTGTGTTTTCTTTTCAATGGTGTGTTTTTGTTCGTCAATTCAATCATTTCGTCAATTTGGGCAGATTTGTTGGCCTCTCTCTCAGGAGCACCATATTAGGGGGACCAGCGCTCCTCCTACAGTTAGGACAGATAGTACAGCGAGTGAAAGAACATCCATGCCTTGTTCGAGATTCAAAATCAAAACACCTTTCTGATACAAAATCAGTTCCCTGAATCCTGCACAGTCCTCTCGGCGAAGAAAATGGGGTGTTGATTTTTGAAAATTTCGAAATTTTGTAATTGTAACCGTGAAAGCTACATAACCGTTTTGTACATCATTCTTTAGCGCTTATATCATAACACAGGGAGTCACGTGATTATACACGAACTGAAATCACTCGTGTCCATCTGCCGTTCCCGCGTATGTGCTGTGAAAGTCATTATAATCCGTTTGTCATCTTCCGTTTGAATTTTCCGAATTAAATTCTACAATTCCTGATGGTAAATAGCTATGCGAGAACAAAGATAAGCATAATAAATTGTGCCCTAATGTAGCTTAATAAAAATGTGGCTTAAAATAATGCATTTTTGTGCCATTTTCTAACAATAGTAACTTATAATACTTTATACGCTACTCACTGAAGCATTGTTAATAGTTGATGGTTCTGAATATTAAAGATTTTTTTAGTTCAGTAAAAAAGTGGTTAGAGTGAGTTATGGAAGCCTGATATTATTTAGTAAAATGATGGGTTATAAATACAAAATAGTTTTGTTCTTTCCCTTTTTTAACAATGTTAATCTTAGTTCTTTTGTTAGTTCAGTCCCAATCCTGAAGATATTAATGACACCAAGCTAAATTTTTTCTCTACACAAATTAATCCCCAAATATAAAATGAGAGACAATTTTTGTATTTTAAAATAAAGCTTTTTTTATTGCATATTTTGATTCTCGAGAAGAAAAAATAAATCAATAATTTTAAAAGCAATTTTTTTTTGCATTTTGGTTCAGAAATGGTGTGGCAATTAACAATATGGAAATGGGGTTACAAATTGTATTGTATAATTTAGAGGTATCGTAATAAATACACATAAGATCGAAAAAAATAAAAATTGTCTTGTCTTAATTAAAATGTCTCTGGTAATCTAAAAAGACAAGTCTAATTACACCAAGATAGAACCCCAACCTCTGGAGTGGATTCGGGGGTAAACTTCAAAATTTTAAACGAATCTTCATTTTTTTTTTTTATTGCAAAATTATTTTTCGCGTAATTTATGAGTTTTGGGTTCAAAAATCTACCCAAATTTTCTAAATTTTTAGATCCAAGGGTTTTAGGATTTTAATGATCTCTTTACTATCCTCTGGGAGGGAGATTAAGGGCAGATTCTGGTATTATTTAACAGATCTTCTGACCATATTTAAATGAAATATTTTCAGATTTTTATCCGATGCATATTTCTGAAAATTATTGACCGTTTCCATACTAACTCGGATAATTCATCGCAAACTTGAATCATAGTACCTAAAGTAATCTGAACATGATAAGATAATATTTATCGTTGAATGATAAAAAAAGCACTCATATGTTTATTTTTTTCTTAATTTCCGGTCGAGAAGAAAGTATTGAGATAAAACGTTACATTATTACATCTTTCAAGTGCGTCTAATTTTCTTGCGATAAAATTATTTGATATACTCCAATACATTTACATTTAAAGAAAATATGATTATCTTATTTTTTAAGTTTTATGTTCTTTAACTTGTTCGAAGCATATCACGCGATGCATCGTAATCTTTAATTTTATTTTCAAGAGAAGAAAATTAATTTAAAAACAACGCGCAGAAGAATGCAATTTAATAAGTTAAA